AGTCTTATTTTTGATACACTACAATTGGGCTGTTTCGTGGGCCTCAGTTTCACTTATCATTTCCCACAAAGACAAGTAGCAGGTTTTCTCATGTAATATCTCTCTTCTACACAAGAGTAGAAAGACCTCTACAGGTTGCCAAGAAAATCTTGTTGCCTTAGAATTGTGTCTAAAACAACTTTCTTGGTCTGACAAATCAGAAGCCTTTATTTCTTAGATGAAAACTCCCTTTTTTTCCCTTTTAAATTTCTCATAGGCAGTGCAAAATTGGTTTTTAAGTACTAGCAAAAGGGTTAATCATGCAAATTTTGAAAGAAAATATCTACCTGTGCAATAGGACGCCTAAGATTCAAGCTTTCTATTTACCTGCTGCCCACTAGAAATTCTATTTTCTTTCTTTTGTGCTTAAAGTACAAAAGAAGCATTTTCTTTCAGTATGTGATTAAGGTAGTGGTAACACATTAAACTATCACTAGCTTTAACATTCATTGGGAATTAGCTTATCAGATGATTTTCAATCATGCTGTTTCTACTTTGATGAAATCCCCATTCTGGAAATAAGGAGAAAAACACCTTGCATCCACTGTAAGCCAGGAACTGTGGTAGGTATCTTGCATACATTATCACTTTTAAACATCATAGCAGTTTAAATGTCAAGGCTTGACAAGTATGTGATTTTCCCACATTCATAGTGTGCCAGGATTCATACCTGCCTTGCCTGACTCCAAAGTCTATGCTCATCGTATAGCACCATACTGGTAGGAGATGTTCTAAAGAAAAGCACAGTGTTTCCAAGCTAAGTCCATGGCTGAGGAGCAATGAACTGTCTGAGGACTTGAAGGCTAAGAATTGGAGAGTGGTGAAAAGAAACCAAGGTGGGACTGATAAGCGGGCAGGGGAGTAAGTGTGGTGGGAGGAGATGATAAAGCCATGAGGATTTTTTTTGTTTTTGGCTGTACTATAATTTTTCCCAGGACAAGTCTTAACTATAAGAAACGATTTAACAGCAACTTTAAACTTTATAATATGTTTGTATGGTGAGAGTTCTTGTTTATGATCACAAGGTATATTTTTAAGGAGATACTCTTATAAAACTTAAGACATGGATATCTCAAGAGAAAATAATTTGACATGTGGGATAATCTTTGATATTCTACAGATTTTCCTTTGGAGTCTCCCCTTTCCTTGTACTGGCAATTTCTACTCCTGTTCTCCAAGGGGAAATGGTTAACACACTCACTGAAACAAAAGGTTGGAGGTTCAGGTCCACCCGGAGGTGCCTCGAGAGAAAGGCTTGGCAATCTACTTCTGAAAAATCAGCCACTGAATACCCTGTGGAGCACAGTTCTACTCTGACACACATGGGGTCGCTATGAGTTGGAGTTGACTCGATAGCAAGTGGTTACCCTCCAAGAAAGTTCACCAACCTTGTTGAGCATCTACCATGAGAATAGTGCCGCTGGCCTTGGCCTCCCTGGCCTGTCCTTCTCATGGCTCTCCTCTCTCTTGATAGGTGTCTGTAGTTCCAGACTTTGCATTTACTGACTTTCCATAAAAATTTACCAGTTAGTTGTCCCATTTACTTAGGGCCCTAAAGAAATCCATACCAATATTCTGCTTGTGTTAATGGTTAAATGTTTTATTCTGTGTGGATAACATAGCTGTACTTGGCCAGGAGCCTTCTGGATAAAATTTCCTTGAGTTTAATGAAAATAACTTATGACTTATTGGAGTTATAGCATTTTAAAGCTGAAAGCAAACTTAGAAGAGTTCCGGGTACAATTTCATCCGTTATCAAATGGTAAAATGAGGCCAAGAGGAATTCTTAGAATTTAATTCTCAAATCACACTTTGAAGACAGTGAGATGACAATTATTGCTTCAGAAATGGGGAAACAGAGGTACAGGAGGAAATGATTTGCTTGAAGTTATATAGAGGATGAAAAGCATAACTGGAATGGATTTCCTTTCACCCACCTTCCTTCTGATTTTGAAAGTAGTGTTTATAATATCCATAAAATCCTTTTACTTGAAGATAATAGAATTTCAGTTGCAAGCCTTCTTAATTTTATTTATAAAACTTTTCTCTGCCCTTTCAGAAACCTTGTTAAACAGTAATTTCATACAGTTGTGGCCCCTGGAAGTAGCAGTGATTGACGAGGAGGGTGAGTAGAGCTAGGGAGAACTCACCCTTAGGTTTTAGTTGCTTTTGTTTAGAAGTCACTCTTTCTTCTAAATAGGGTCACTCTGAGTTGAAATTGACTCGACAGCAGTGGGTTTCTTCCCTGTTTTTGGCATTATGCAATGATGTGACTGGACAAATGAAAAGAAAATTGAAAAACCAACAACTGTCAGTGCCAAATTAGTCACTTTTGTAAATAAGACAAGTTTTCAATCAGGAGCTTGACAGGCTTTCTGGATTTTATGGTTTGCTTAAACAAAAGTAAATATTAACTACGGTAGACCAGTCATTTCTAAATTAGCTGTAGTAATGAAATATGCTACTCATAACACTTTTCATTTGCTAGCAGGATGAGATGATTAAATATATCTGGTGTCTTTGGTTTTTCTATACTGACTAAAAACTTTGAGGTCTGAAAGGATTGGTGATCAATCATAAACAACAGATAAAGGAATTTGTGTGAGTAGTGATCTGATGGGATTTAGATTGGGAACTCAACCTTCATTCTAAAGCAAAAATACATATTCTTATTATGACTTCAGTTGATTGATTTTCTTCTCTTCTAGTCCAGCCCCAAATGCTGTCTTTCACCAGTTGCTATAGGATGAAATTCTATCTTTTGGTTTCATGTGGCGTTCAATACCTACTTTCTTACAACTTGCAGTCTAGAAATATGAGTATATTTTATGATGTATGATACAAAATAGTAGCTGTGTCATATGAGTTTCTTATATTTATGGATCTCAAAGTTAAAGATTCACTACTTTATTATTTTTGAATAAAATAATAATAGTTGATATGGAACATTTGCTATTTGCCAGATGCTGTGCCTAAAGCTTTACGTACATGCGTTATCTATTTAATTTTCACACAAACCAAAAAGGCAGACACTATCCTAACTCCTATTTTAAAGATGAGAAAACTGAGATTCTGAGGGGTTAGGTAACATGGTCACACAGCTGTCAAGGAGGAGCTGAAACTCAGATCCAGGATTGCCTGGTTTCAAAGCTGGTGCTCTAATCCACTGTGCTACACTATGAGTAAGAAAACCGATGCAGAAACTAGGTGAGGACTAATATATAAAGTCAGGCAGAGAGGAAATCTGAAGTAACAACTAGTTCTCACTCATTACCAGTTCTAGCTCGAGAGAGCATCCTTTGCTTTGTTGCAGATATTCTTACTTGATAAAGAGTGGATAAATTCATGATTGGTTGGAAGTAAAAGGAAAGATTTTCTCTCATCACTGACATCCAATCATTGACAAGTTCTGTTGATGCTTTCTCCTCAGCTTTTCTGAAATCCTTTCCTTTCTTTCATCATCACTGCTACCAACCTAGTTTTAAAGTTCCTCTTTAGGTCTAATCCAGTATCCTGTTACTAAAATCTTTACCTGCCCACTCTCCCTGTCCATTCTACAATATTCTTTCGGAACTAAGAGTTAAATTAGACATAATTTGTCACTAAGGAGTTTAGGGACTTGCTTGAGAGACAGACACGTAAACAAGCAATTTCAAAACAATGTGGTAAATCCTTGATCTGTTTGATTCTGTGGGAGCATAGAGAAGTCAAGATTTCAGGGGACAGCCAAGGCAAAAGGTAACATTTAATGGAAGTGTCCTTTATTGATATTGGAAATAATAAAACACTCTATCAATGTTTTACTACTCCTAATTGTTATTGGGAGCCCTGGTGGCACAGTGGTTAAGAGCTCGGCTGCTAACCAAAAGATTGGCAGCTCGAATCCACCAGCCACTCCTTGGAAACCTTATGGGGCAGTTCTATTCTACCCTATAGGGTCACTATGAGTCGAAATCGACTCGATGGCAATGGGTTTGTTTTTTGTTTTTTAAATTGTTATTGAGCTATTCCTTTGTGCCAGGTACAGTTTTAAGTCTTTTACATACACTATCTCATTTAATCCTCAGAACAACACTCTTTTGTAGGCACTATTATTTTTTCCTCTTTACACCAAGGGAACTGAGGCTTAAAAAGCTTAACCTACATAAAGTTATATAGTTAGGAAGGGTGGAGTTAGGATTTTAACGAAGACAGTCTGAATTTTCTTTAGAGGGAAAGAGGGGTTGGGTTTTATACACATTGCATTTGAGGAATCAGATTTGTTCCAATGGCAGGGGTAGGCAGATCTCAGGTTTAGGAGATAAAAATTGGGAGTCATTAGCCTATAGAAGCTCCTTAGAAGCGAGGATGGCCAGACTTCATCTCACATACTTTGGACATATTTTCAGGATGGACCAGTCCCTAGAGAAAGACATCATGCTTGGTAAAGTAGAGAGTCAGTGAAAAAGAGAAAGACCCTCAATGAGATGGATTGACACAGTGGCTGCAACAATGAGCTTCAAACATAGGAACGATTGTGAGGATGGCGCAGGACCAGGCAGTGTTTCATTCTGTTGTACATAGGGCTGCTATGAGTTGGAACTGACTCGACGGCACCTAGCAACAACAGCCTATAGAAGTTATTGGAAGCTAAGAATGTTGATGAAAATGCACCAGAAGAGTGTGAGTTAGAAAAGAGGAGATCCAAGGATAGAACTTTGAAGGCTACCACCATGTGAGGGGAAAATAGAGGTGGAAGAGTTACCAAAAAACATGTTAAGGGACTACAAATGAGGACTGTAATTTGAAGGAAGACATAGCTTCACTGGTTTGGGACACAGGTGTTAAAAAAATATTTGCCCCAAAGACTTTGCCTTAGCTCTTTTTTTGTCCAAAGAAGCTTACTTTTCCTTTTAAATCTATATCACAGCTATTGGCTAGTATCGTTCATAACTCAGCTTCTGTCACCATCTGGAGCTGTGTTGGCAAACTTTTTCTGCAAAGGGCCAGATAGTATTTTTAGCTTTTTGGGCCATATGGTCTCTGTCGCAATGACTCAACTCTGCCATCTGTTGTAGTGTGAAAGCAGCCATAAACAATACATAAACAAGTGGACATAGCTGTGTTCCAATAAAACTTTATTTGCAAAAACAGGGGTTGGGTTGGATTTAGTCCATGAGCCATAGTTTATTGACACTTGATCTGGAGTCACCCCTCTTGGTTTGGTGTCCTTTCAAAACTTTCCCAGCTTTAGTCCTTTCTTCATTAAATACTTGGTTCCACACATTTAGATGCTCTTGTACATTTCCCTTATTCTCCTTCTTATGGTACATTCTCTGGTAAAATTATCTGGACAAGGAGCTCCATCTAAAAAAAAAACTAAACCCATTGCCGTCTAGTTGATTCTGACCCATAGCAATCCTATAGGACAGAGTAGAACTGTCCCATAGGGGTTCCAAGGAGTGCCTGGTGAGTTCGAACTGCCAGCTTTTATGGTTAGCAGCCATAGCTCTTAACCACTATGTCACCAGGGTTTCCAGGAGCTCCATAGGAAGGCTAAAGTGGAAGCTAGCAGTTAATTGAAATATGTCAATGTGAAATCCATAGTGTTTTTGGTGTCTGTGATCTATTACTACTCTAATTTCTTAAATGCCAACTACCCTAAAAAATCAAAATGATTTATTACAAAGTGAGCTTGATCTGTATTTTAAACTATGGTGGACTTGCACTTAATAATATGACAAATTAGTCTTCATTTGGGAAGCAAGGAGTAATTTTGGTGCCTATGCAGTAGAACTCTTTTGGTGTGTTTTGCTTCTTTGGGAGTTTGGTAATTTTGTTAAATATAGAAGGATGCCTAATATTTCTTAGATGGAATCCCCATGGGAGGACACACACACACACACACACACACACACAGTGACTGCAAGATTACCATGGGAATTGGGGAACTTCAGCTTACCACTTAACGTTTTAAGTAGAAAATGAAAGCATCCGTTGCATCTCAGTAGAACTGAAAATTGGAAAATGAGTACTAAAACAGCTTGCTTCCTGGAAAAGCAAGGTTTAGAAAATATTGGCAATCTGCTAACACATCATTTTCCTCTGCAGTCCTTATCTTAGGATTCTTGGTATTGATTAGGAAGTATAGTCAAATCTTTTTTTGAATTGAAAAATCCTTATTTATATACATTGATCTTTACTCATGGAAGGCTGATAGAGTAAGCTTGACTTTCCAATCTTCCTAATCTTAATTGAGTTGTTTATCCAGCATTTCAATTCTACTATCAATTAAGCATCCACTGTGTGATGTGTGAGTTGAGAAGTGAAATACAGTGATTTTTGTGTGAACTCCATTTGTGATAAGAAATCAATGCATAAACAGCAGAGCCAAGGAAAGCATTGAAATCTTTTTATGGTTTTCTCAGGCAGGTGAGGTAGACATGCGCTGCTCAGATCCCCCTTCATTGAAACTCTTGCTGCCCAGCTGTGGGAGTGCAGTCGGCAGAAAGCCTGAAGCTGTCAGCTTCTTCAGGGTCTGCCTCAGCAGAGGCCATGCCTTTCCAGAACAGCCCACAACTGGTGATTGTGTGAGGGTATAAATGCTGGGCCATTTCAGCTTGATGCAGTTCACTCTGTTGTTCAATACTTGCTCCAGAGCACCCCGATGACTTTGTCAAGCCTTTGTTGCAATTTGACTTCTCCTTTTGTCCAATTTTGCTTCCTTCCCTTCT